CACATTTCAGTCCCCTTGTTTTATCTTTAAGGAAATATAGTTAGCCTTTGGGCCAGTCCAGTGTGGGCTCTGCAGCATCTCTTCTCTATACTGCTCGGCTCTGCCACTGTGGAGCTCTTTCCTGAGCATTCCTGCTGACCTCACAGCTTCCCAGTACCATACATCAATCTCCTTGCTCTCTGCCCAGAGATATATAGGGCCCTTGGTCCCATGGGCTTCAGAATTTTCTGTAGCTTTTTCCTACCGGAATTTCTTCGTGCTAGTAGTGTCTGGAAGTGAAGGGTACAGACCTTTGTCTGGCAGTTCCTACTGACCTCACCTAACCCTGTGCTCTGCTACAAAGTCTTTACCTCCCAGGTGACCCCACCAACTATGTATCCAGCCATTGTGAGCGAAGCACTTCTAGTGGTTTCTCCTAGCCTGCACCAAGTCCCTGGTTGCAGTTTGCGCTACCTCCTGCTTGTTTCCTCAACCTACCTTGATAAATTTATTTACTATGGCTTCTTGCGGGAATAAAGATTGCTGTGTATTATCCTGGTCAATCTCGCCAAGTCACATGGATGAGGTTTCTAATTATCATGTTATCCAGAAGCATTGTCATTGTTTCTTGAATAGTGCTTATAAATATACTGATACATTTGTAGAAAAAGTCTGAAAACATCAACCCTATAATGGAAGCAGCAATGAATTATGTGATTATGTAATCCCATGTATTTTTCTTATTTTTATTTAACTGAAATTTCCAAGTATAGTAACTCATGTAATGCGTTTTAAGTGAGAAACGTGGTTTCCATAAGATCTTCCCATAGTTTTCATTTCAGTTTATGTAATATGAGATTAAAAAGGAACTAAAGTTACATTCTAGTTTATACCAGGTTCTTCTGCTGTCTCATTAGACTTTATCCGATGCTGTATCCTCCTGTCTCCAAGGACAATGTCTCCAAAGAAGCAAAGCTTAGCATACTTTTTAAAACTGGAATAAGGTTACTCAGAAGATTCATTAATGAATGTATGTATGTCACCAGGGACTGTGATTATTCACTGAGTTGCATTTTTATCAAATAAAGCAAATATTAAGCTCGGTATAGCAGCTTGTCGCTTACTCTCAGAAGTCTGAATAACAGCTACTGTAAAGTGGTGGATTGCTGACACCCCAGAGTCTTCAGATCATGTGTCTTCTACTCTTTTTTCTTGGTAGAGGAAGGTTAAAATACAAGGAAGTCTAAGAAAATAGATGAAAATGGACACTCCTGAGGAGCCTATGCATCTTAGAGCATTCTTGAACTGGACAGTGGACTCATAAGCAAAAGTAACTAGAAGTTGATATAAAAATCTTCTTATCAATTATCATTTCTAATTTAAGAACTTAAGATTTCAAGTTTCAACACCAATAGAATCTATGAAAGTCATAATGGTAAGTCCAATCAGATTTCTCTTTTTATTGTGTTTACTGTGTTTGATTCGAGTTTCATTATACTCTGGGAGGTAAAATGTATTGTTTAAAAAATGGGAAATAGCAATAATTTCTATATTTGATAAAAAATCATTTTGTTTATAGAATATAGTTCCTTTGCACATAAATATATCATGTGTGGAGATTTTTTCCCATTTATACACAAGAATATGTGGGCATTTAAGTGTTAAAGTTTGGGTCTCAGGACTTTGCTTATTTGGTATAATGTTTCCCTAGCATGTGCAGTGACCTGGGTTCAAATCTGTAGTACCTCATAAACTTAGCTGGTGACACATAGCTGCAATTCCAGCACTTGGAGTTTCAAAAAATAAATATTTAAAAATTTTATGAGTATTCAGAAATATATTACCTATATTGATAAGCACAGGTCAAAAAATAAGATGTATACATGCATATACTTAGGTAAATACCCTACCTTCCCCCTGAAGAATGACAAATTGATGACTATTGCATCACCTCATTAGAGATTTTTCCCATTTCATTTTGAAAGTAAACATCAGCTAGCTGCATTTATAGCACTGAATAATTACCCAGATTGACAAGGCTGAGTAACTTTAGTCAGTGATGTGATCTCTGTATTGTCTCTGAATTAGGAGGGGAGTTGGAAGAAGAACTTAAACAAGAATATCAGGAAAAAAAAAGGCAACTTCTCTGTTGTGAGCTGTGAAGATAGAGTAAAATGTTCGTCTCTTTAAGAACACACTTAAGCCATTATGGTAAGGCCTGCCTGTGACATTCAGGAGAACGAAGCAGGAGGATGGTGGGTTTGAAGTCAGCCTGGGCTACATATCAAAATCCCGTCTAACTAAAAAACATAAGCAAAAAATAAATTTAGCCATCAGTTCAAGATCACAGAAAGTGTAAATGACAAACTCAATACCAACATATTTTGCTTTAGGAGCCCAAATCAGAAGGAAAATAGTTTTGTAGGCATCGAATTAGGAAACATACCATAATGGGCCTATCTAGAGTCCCTTGTTTTAGGAAGATCATCTCTTCTTCATCTAGCAGCAATCAGTGGCCAACTTTCTTTCAGATAAGATTGAGGTCTGCTGTTCATGTTCCCAGGCCTGAGTTTGAGTTGGACTTGCAGATAACTCCATTTAGAAGCCTTTGTTAGACAACTAACTGCATGTGGGATTGCCTTAGATGGGCCAAATACTATTCTGAAAAGGTTCACACTCTAAGTTCTCCAGATGACTGTTCTTTCTTGTGTGTTAATATCAAGATAGTAGCAAGTAATGCTTTCAAAAGAGATAAGAGGTGCAGGTATCAGCAGGAATCTTCCAGAGGGATTTAAACACAGTTTAAAATCAGTGTAAATATAGAAGTCACTCAGATGAGTTGGGGAGAGAAATCTTGTTCTGTCAGAGGCAGCAACTAAAGCACGTGTCACATGGTATGTGCTCTGTAATGTAGTATATTATCTCTATTGAAAAGAACAGACTACTGTGACATATTGAATTTGAACTATGTGTAAACTTTCAAGTAGATATTATTGAAAAGAACAGACTACTGTGACATTTGAATTTGAACTATGTGTAAACTTTCAAGTAGATGTCAGGTCGCATCTAAGAATCAAAAATGTCTTCCTTAATGAAGTAATACTTCATAGGTTGACCAGGCTCCAGTGGATGGGCTAACACCAAGGGACATTTGGGGATACAAACTTGACTCAGTAGGCCTTAACATATATGAAAGGATGCATGAAATCAAGCAGGGTTGGGCACTGTAGATAGGGAAAACGGTCTGAACTTGACAAAGATGTATTGTAAGAAATGCACAAAAATACAATTAATTTTTTAAGACACAGAAATGGCCATTGCAAAAATAAAGACAGATAATCCCATGAGCACCTGAATAAGTAGATTTCAAACAGAGGAATTGATGAAACACTGGGTATATATAACTAGGGTTTTTAAATAAGGCAAGACAAAACACTAGCCAATTTTGTTAACATTTTTCAATTGTATAAAGCTAAATATTTCAAACTGACTCTCTTATGACCTTACAATTTACAGAAGGGCCATTGTTTCTAATAGAATATGTAAATGCCCATCCAAATTTGATTAATTGTTTTCTGTTAAATGCCCACAACTATGACATGATTTTCATTTTGTCCTAAATGAGATTATTCAAAATCCATGTTCTTTTTTCTCCATGTTTTAGAGCTAGATTAAGCTTGATCTATGTAGGGGCTGGAAAGATGGCTCAGCAGTTAAGAGGCTGGATTGCTCTTACAGGACCCAGGTTTGATTCCCAGCACCCACATGGAGGCTGCGGTGGTTTAAATGAAAATCCCCCCCATAGGCTCCAAGTATTTGAACATTTTGTCCTCAATAATGGAGCTGTTTTGGGAGATATTAGAAGGTGGTTTTATGCTGGAGGAAGCATGTCACTGGGGGTGGGCTTCGGGAGTTCTTAAGCCTTGCCATATGGGATCTCCAGTTGCTCTCTTGTTTCCTGTGCCTACTGGAATATGTAGAGCTTAGCTTCCACTAGTCCTCCAGCCACCTCTGCCACCATGCCTTCCGGCTGTGATGGACTCTAATTCCCCTGGAACCTTAATCTCAAGTAAACTCTTCCTTCTATAAATTGCTTTGGTCAGTGTTTCTATCACAGCAACAGAAAAGTGACTAACACAGAGGCTAACAACAAGCTGTAACTCCAGTTCCTGGGGATCCAGCACCTTCTTCCGACCTCCACAGGCATTGCATGACATGGGTGCACTAACACACATACAGGCAATACACTCATACACACAAAATCAGTTAAAATGGAATATTCTTTAGTAGAGAATAATCATATGCAGTGTCTTTGAAATATATTATCAACATATGTTGTGGATTAAGGTTTTTGGTATTACGCATCACCCTAAATTGTTAAGTGATCACTTAGGGACAGAGGAACCTAAGGAGACAGTATCAAAAACTAAGGAATTTCTGTGTGTGTTTTCACATATATGTGTACACATACATGATTTGATATGTGTCCGTGTACTGTGTGTGCACAAATGGTAAGGAATCTTGAAGTCTTTTGGGTGAAAACACACACAGAAATAGACAAAATTAAAAAGTTTCAGTAGAGCATTAGAACAGAGGCCTAAAGTGACTACAATGTGCATAGTAATCCAGAATTGTCTGATGTATATTAGTGCTTTAAGAAGGAACAACACATGTAGAAAATGCATGAGAGAATTCTAGGCAATTCTGATTTTTCTTGAGTTCAAGTTATCTATGCTTCCCATAAAATAACAGATAGACCTACAGGAGTTAGAAGTCCTTGCACAGTATGCATTCCAAGTGTGGTGATTTTTAAACCACAGGAATATTGGGAGGCAGAGGCAGGTGGATCTCTGTGAGTTCAAGGCCAGCCTGGTCTACATAGTGAGTTCCAGGACACCTGGGGCTAGAGGGAGACCCCCTCTTAAAAAGACCAAAAAAGAAAAACAAATCTGACAGGTTTCAAACTGCTTCTATAATAGTCTCTGAATGTTGCATGCAGATCTAACAGAAGTCAGAAATCAGCAATGAGGAACAACACAGTGACAACGTTCATTCTACTAGGACTGATGGATGACCAACAGCTGCAAGTTCTAATTTTCATCTTTCTCTTTTTCACCTACACTCTGAGCATAACCGGGAATCTGACCATCATTTCCCTCATCTTAGTGGATTTTCACCTTAAAACAGCCATGTACTATTTCCTTAAAAATTTTGCTTTCTTGGAGATCTCATTCACATCTGCTTGTATTCCCAGGTACATGTATAACATAGCCACAGGTGATAAAATGATTTCCTATAATGCCTGTGTCAGTCAAGTGTTTTTTACTGACCTCTTTTGTATAACTGAATTTTTCCTTCTGGCTGCCATGTCCTATGACCGCTATGTGGCCATCTGCAGGCCACTGCATTATTTGACTATCATGAGTAGCACATTCTGCAGAAGGCTTGTCATTTGTTGTTGGGTAGCTGGTCTGTTTATTATAATTCCCCCACTCAGCCTCGGCCTTAATCTGGAGTTCTGTGATTCTAACACTATAGATCATTTTATCTGTGATGCTTCTCCCCTCCTGAAAATCTCTTGCTCAGATACTTGGCTCATGGAACAGATGGTTATCATCTGTGCTGTGCTAACCCTCATTATAACACTTATGTGTGTCATTCTGTCCTATGTTTACATCATCAAGACAATTTTAAGATTCCCTTCTGCCCAACAAAAGAAAAAAGCCTTTTCCACCTGCTCTTCCCACATGATTGTAGTATCCATCACCTATGGCAGCTGCATCTTCATCTACATTAAACCTTCAGCTAAGGAAGAGGTGGCTATTAACAAGGGCGTGACAGTTCTCACTACCTCCATTGCTCCGATGCTAAATCCCTTCATTTACACACTTAGAAACCGGCAAGTCAAGCAAGCCTTCCGTGACTCAATCAAAAGAATCATAATATTTTCCAAGAAATAAGGCAAGGTGAAATCTAATAAACATAGGTGGTAAACTTCCCAAACTTCTGGGTCAGGCTAACTTTTTCAGAACACTCTTGCTCACCCTTATCTACTGACATTAGCTCAACAAAACTTTTAAGATCACATTATTATATGTTCAAAGGCTTTCAAAATTTTAAATTCCTTCAACAATTGCAAATTAAGAATGCCAAAAAGCTCTGGGCACATGCCTTCAATCCTAGGACTACAGAGGCAGAAGCAGGCAGATTTCTGTTAATTGAGGCCAGCCTGGTCTACATAGCAAGTTTCAAGCCAGCTGGGCTACAGGGAGACATTAACTCAAACAAAACAAAAGCAAAACCAAAAACAAACAGAAAGTAAGGCCAATAAAATAAAGTACAACAACATAATAAAGAAGTAAAATGTCAAAATCTTTTACATCAGGAAAAATAATGGTTACCATTATTCTAATTCAAAACTTTCAGTTTATTCATTGATTCACTTAATCAATATGTGTTATTTACACTCTTAAAAGCAGGTGCTATTTGCTATAAACAAGAGAAAATAAACCAGAAAAAAATATCTGTCTCCCTCTCATGTACCTTCAGAGATAGAAAGAAGAAATGGCAACAAAGAATCTATCACTAATGAACAGACAGTGAAAATGTTGCACACATACAGAATGGAGTATTTTTTGGTCATAAAATAAGATGAAATTCTCTCTCCTGTAAGAACACAGAATAAACAGGACTGGAGAGATGGCTTAATGGTTAAGAACACTGGTTGCTCTTGCAGAAGACCTGGGTTTGAATTCCAACACCCACATGGTGACTAACAACCATCTGTAACTCCAGTTCTTTGGGATCCAATGCCCTCTTATGTCCTCCATGAACATTGCACTTACATACATGCGGTCATAACACTTATATACATATAATAAATTGTTTTAGAAAAGAATACAAAATAGAAATCATCATGCTAAAATAAATCAAGCACAAAAATACCAATATTTCCCTCAAATATGGGTTTTAGAGAGGATAAACTCAGAACCTAAGAATAGAATGTTGGCTGTCAGAAGCCAGGGAGTGGTGGGCATAAGTTGAACTAAGTCACAGGTGGTAGAAGTAAGAACTTCGAGTGACCTGTTGGATAATAGAGTGACTGTGTCGATGATGATGTGCTCTATAATTCAGGAAGCTAAAAAAAGAATTTTGAATGCTTTATCATGAAGAAATTATAAACAGAGGAGTTGAAAGTAGAGAGTGAGAGGTGGAAATAATGTAATCACAGTACTCATATATGAAACTCTCAAAAATAAATTTTAATTTATATTTTAAAAAATTA